TGGGGGTGATCGTTAATGGGGGATTAGTTAATTGTGGGGTGGTTAAAGGGGTAATTAGGGGTGATTAGTTAATTAGGGGTGATTAGGGGAGGGGGTTAAATAAGAGTGATGGGGTGGAATTGCTGGGGGGAGGGGAGATGGGGTAGAAATAATAATTAATAAATAAATAATAATAATTAAAATGTTAATTAAGGGATGAATTCGTTAAGAGGTTAATTAGCACGAAGGGAAGGGTCAACCCCCAGTTTTAAGGGGATAAAACCAAGTTTGGGGGGGGCAAACCTTAATTTTGGAGGGAGAAAATCCCAATTTTAGAGGGGTTCAATTCCAGTTTTAAGGAGATAATTTTTCAGGGGTCCAACCCCCATTTTGGAGAGATAAAACCCCAAATTTTTTGGGGGTCAATCCTCAATTTTGAATTAGTTAAACCCCCATTTTTAGGAGGTCAAACCCCAGTTTAGGAGGGATTAAACCCCAATTTTCAGGAGTCAAACCCCAATTTTAGCAGGGGTAAAATCCCAGTTTTGGAGGGGTTAAATTCCAATTTTAAGGGCATAATTTTCTGGGGCTGAAACCCAATTTAGGAGGGGTTAAATCCCAGTTTTGAGGTGCCAAATCCCAATTTTGGGAGGCTCACGCCTTTACTGTGGGGACAAGAGGGGTTGTGGGGTGACACTGAGGCTTAATTAAGGGATTCATTAAATAATTAAGGAGCTAATCAACAGGGGGAAGATAGTCACAGTAGCAGTAATGAACAGAAAAAGATAGTAATCAATTAATTAAGCGCTAATTAATCGGTCACTCACCCTCCTCCTCCCCCGCCCCTCTCAGGGGGGGCTCTGGGGGGGCTCCGTGGCCGAGTCTGGGGGGATTTTTTGGGGCTGGGGGCTCGGTGCAGCCCCTTCCTCATGTCCTGGAGAGGGTCCAGCACGGCTTTGCGTCCCCCCTGCACCTCCCGGGACCCCTCCCCAGCGTTTTTGGGGGGCTGCAGGTACCAGGGGGGGCAGGTCTGGGCCTCGGCCGCGCTCTGGCCCAGGTAGGTCAGGACCCCCAGGGCCCGCTCCCGGCGTTCCTGGGGGGAAATTGGGGAGGGGGATTTGGGGTGAGACCCTCCCCTGCTGAAAATCCCCCTGGGTTTCCCTCAAATTCCCCTTTTTTCCACCCTAATTCCCCCTTTTTCCACCCAAAATTCTCTATTTCCCCACACAAATGCTGCCATTTTCCACCCTCAGCCTTCCAATCCTGAGGGGAAATTGGGGAGGGGGATTTGGGGTGAGACCCCTCCCCTGCTGAAAATCCCCCTGGGTTCCCCTCAAATTCCCCTTTTTTCCACCCAAATTCTCCCTTTTTCCCACCCTAAATTCCCCTTTTTCCACCCAAAGTCCCCCTTTTTCCACCCTAATTTCCCCTTTTTCCCCACACAAATGCTGCCATTTTCCACCCTCAGCCTTCCAGTCCTGAGGGGAAATTGGGGAGGGGGATTTGGGGTGAGACCCTCCCCTGCTGAAAATCCCCCTCTTTTCTCCCAAATTTCCCGCCTTTTCCAACCCAAATTTCCACTTTTTCCACCCAGATTTCCCCTTTTCCCACACAAATGCCGTCATTTTCCACCCTTTCAATCTCAGCCGCTCCTGAGGGGAAAACTGGGGAGGGGGATTTGGGGTGAGCCCCCCTGGGTGAAAATCCTTCCAAGATTTCCTCAAATCCCACCTTTTCCCACCCAAATCCCCCCTTTTCCCACCCAAATTCCCCCTTTTTCCTCTGTAATTCCCCCTTTTCCCACACAAATTCCCCCTTTTCCCACACAAATTTCCCCTTTTCCCACACAAATTTCGCCATTTTCAGTCCCCACCCCTCCAAACTCCCACCGATCCTAGGGGAAATTTGGGGAGGGGGATTCAGGTGACCATCCCCTAGCTGAAAATCCCCCTGGGTTTTCCTCAAATCCCCCCTTTTTCCCCCCAATTTCGCCCTTTTCCCACACAATTTTCCCCATTTTCCACACTAACCCCGCCATTTTCCACCCCTCCAATCTCCCGCCACTCCTGAGGGGAAAATTGGGGAGGGGGATTCAGGCAACCCCCCCTATGCCAAAATCCCCCCTTTTTTCCCAAAATCCCCCGCCTCTTTTTCCCAAAATCCCCTGAATTCACCCCAAAATCCCTTTTTCCTCCAAACCTCCCCATTTCCACCTCTCCACCTCCTCCTGAGAGTGGAATTTCCGCCTGTAACTCCCCCCAAACCCCCCAATTTTTCCCCCCAAATCCAAGTTCCACACCTGAGGGGATATTTTGGGGAGGGGTCCCCCCCAGCCCCCCCTCCCCCCTCACCTGTTCCCGCCTTTTTTCCGCCTCGTGCTCGCGGTTCGGGGCCTCCTCGGGGGGCGGGAACAGCACGGGGGGGGCCGGGGGCGAGGGGCTGCGACCCCCGACCCGCGCCCGCTTCCGCAGGAGCTCGGTGCGCACCTGGGGGGGGCAAAGGGGGGGTCAGGGACCCCCAAAATTCCTCCCCCACCCCAAATTCCCCCCCCTCCCCATCCCTACCCCCCACTCCCCTCAGTACTCGCCTCCTGCTCCGCCCGCAGCGCTCGCGCGTCCCGTTTCCTCCGCTCCACCTCGGCCGCCGCCTCGTCCCGCCGCACCCGCGCCACATTGTCCTTGTTCCGCACATGCCACGACTTCTTCGGAAGGATGTTCATGGCGGCGGCGGCGGCGGGGCCGGGAGCGGGACCAGGCCGCGACTCTGAGGCACCACGGCTGCACCGCCCTCTCTGCCGCCCTCTCCGTTCTGATTGGCTGAGCCTCTGTCGCTCCGCCCTTCTCTCGCTCTCTGATTCGCCCAACCACTTTTTTCCCCCCCATTGTCGCTCTCTGATTTGCTGAGCGCTCTAGTCCCGCCCTCTTCTCGCTTCTGATTGGCTCACTCGCCTTCCTTAAAGGGGCGACGCCGGAAGTGAGGGTTTCCCGCCTTCTCGCATTGTGGGAGCGCCGCCATATTGAACCGTGAGGGGAGGCAGGGGCATCTCTGAAACCTCCCGCAAAAAAACCCCAAATCCTCCCAGGACCCCCCAGAATAACCCTAAAACCCCTCTGGGAACCCTCAAAATCTCTTTGGGAACTCCCGGCCCGAGTTTTATCCACATTTTAAGGATTTGTCCGTAGATTTGCCTCATTTCCCTCAAAGATTCACCTCAGGCACTTGGGGGGTCTTGCAGGATCAGGTGAGTTCAGAGGGATTTGGATCCATTTTTGGTATTCGGCTCATTTTAGATGTATTTTATTCAATCTCAGGGCTTTGGGGGTCAGTTTTGGGTGGTTTTGGTCAGTTTTGGGGTCTCCACACACACCAAACACACCGAGGATGTCTTTCAAGGCTTTTATTGGTCTCAATTTTGGGGGGGCCCTTCCAAAAACAGAGCCCCCCACTCCCACCCCCCTAAAAAACCCCTCGGGGGGTGCCCGCAGCCCCCAACACCCTCAAATCCCTCCCCAGGCCCCCCCTCCTGGGTATTGGGGTTCAGGGGGGTGGGAGGTCCCCCCTAAATTCTCATTTTTGGGGTCCCTCCTCTTCCTCACCTGGGGGTCCCCCTGATTTGGGGCTATCGGAGCTCCCCCATTTTGGATTTTGGGGTTTCCCCCCTCGTTTTCCACTGGGGTTCCTCCCCCTGAGTATTGGGGTGCTTCCTCCTCATCCTCACCCCAAGGTTTGGGGTCCCCCCGAGCTGTGGTTATTGGGGTTCATCCCCACCCCGACCCTCGGGGTCCCTCCTCTTCCTCAGCTCCTGGGATTTGGGGGCCGGGGGCTCCTCCCTGGCCTCTGTTTCGGGGTTCAGGGGGTCCCACCCCTCCTGAATTTGGGGATTTTGGGGGTCTCCACTCTCCTGGATTTTGGGATTTAGGGCTTCCTCACCCTCATGAATTTTGGGGTTCAGGGGGTCCCATCCCTCGTGAATTTTAGGATTTAGAGGATCTTCTCTCTCCTGAATTTTAGGATTTAGGGGATCCTCATCCTCATGAATTCTGGGGTTTAGGGGGTCACATCCCTCATGAATTTTAGGATTTAGGGTGCCCTCACCCTCTCCGATTTTAGGATTTCGGGGATCCCCACCCTCATGGATTTTGGGCTTCGAAGGGTCCCATCCCTCATGAATTTTAGGATTTAGGGGATCCTCACCCTCATGAATTTTAGGATTCCGGGTGTCCCATCCCTCACGAATTTTAGGATTTCGGGTGTCCTCACCCTCACGAATTTTAGGATTTAGAGGACCCCCACCCTCATGAACTTCGGGGTTCAGAGGATCCCATCCCTCCTGAAATTTAAGATTTAGGGTGTCCTCACCCTCGCAGATTTCAGGATTTAGGGGATCCCCCCCCTCCCCCTCACGGCGCTCCCTCCTCCTCCTCACCTGCGCGTCCCCTGCCCCCCCCATCCCCTCAGGCTCCTCTTCCCGCCCTTTTTCCCGCCCCTCTTCCCCCCCTTTTCCCCGCCCCCCTCCCCCCCCTTTTCCGCCGC